GGAGACACACAGTGGAGAGAAAAATCTACATTCTGACACGGGTTTCTAGCCCCACCAACTCTGTGTCCTGCACAGCAGCAGATTATTTTTGTGCAAGAAGAGAAAGTCCTACATAAGGAGAGCTCAGAAGGCCAAATCATCTTTTCCTTGCTCACTACCCATAGCATCTATGCCGAAACAGCACGGGTGTGTCTAGACTGGCAAGATTTTGTGCAAAAGCAATTGCTTTTGCGCAAAAGCTTGCCAGCTGTCTACACTGGCTGCTTGCATTTGCACAAGAACACTGACTTTGTAATGTACAAAATCATTGCTTCTTGCACAAATACTTTCATGCTCCCACTTGGGGGGAAAAAAGCCCTCTTGTGCAAGAATAATTGCTCAAGAGGGCCAGTGTGTAGACAGGGAAGAACTGTTTTGCACAAAAAAAGCCCTGCTGGCTAAAATGGCGATAGGGGCTTTCTTGTGCAAAATCGCATCTAGACTGGCCATGGATGCTTTTGCACAAAAGCATTCTTGCCAATCTAGATGCTCTTTTGTGGAAATACTTAACGGAAAAGTTTTTCCATTAAGTAAGTATTTCTGCAAAATCATGCTGGTCTAGATGTAGCCCACTGGACTAGGAGAGAAAGAGATCCTGAATTAAAGAGATTTAGTGAGAAGGCTTCTGGAACATAGGGGCTGCGTCTAGACTGGCATGATTTTGCGGAAATACTTTTAACGGAAAAGTATTGCGCAAGCGAGCATCTATACTGGCATGTGCCTTGGCACAAAAGCATCTGTGCCAGTGTAGACGCTCGCTTGCGCAAGAAAGCGCTGATGGCCATTTTAGCCATCGGGCTTTCTTGCACAAGACATTAACATTGCTGTCTACACTAGTCCACTTGCGCATGAGGGTTATCCTTACACGGGAGCGTCAGAGTATTTGTGCAAGAACCACACATTACAAAATCAGTGTTCTTGTGCAAATACTCGTGGCCGTTGTAGACAGGCAGCAATTAGCTTTTAGGTGGGTTTTACATTTTATTTCCTTGTCACTAAGTCTGCCACATAATGTCACATTACTTGCAGTCCCCTAAAAATCTTTAAATTTGTTTTATCTGTCTGTGTTGGTGTTTGGGGCACTCATTTGAGAGACTATTGATAGAAAATGATATGCACAAATCTTAAAGGACATAACTTGTATTATCCAGTCTACACGTTTCTGGGGGAAAGGCTGGGATAGGCGTTTACTTGCAGTGCTCTTCAGTGTAATTCAGGGATGGCTTGTGATAGCACCTAGCCCATAGAGCTGGGAGGGAGCTGCATGCTAGTGGCTCTAAGAGCAGATCAGGTGTGGGAGTTCTCACAGTGAAGCAGCGTAAAAGGCATGGCAGAGGGACACAGCTATCCAGCAGGCGTGACTGTACCTTGGGTATGTCATACAATGTTTTTACAGTGGATACATTCCGTGAACTACAACCATCATATAAAAGGTGGGGTTATCCATGCTACTCAAAGTGTGAATTAAGGCTCCTGTGGGGGGCGGGAGGAGGAATGGAAAGGAAGTAGAGCTACAGTCAACCTCCCCAGTTAATAGCCAAGCCTTGCTGATCCCAGGGAGTGGTTAGCATGCCTCAGATATGGAGATGCATAGTCTGTTTGGCACTGCCTGGTCAACCCATAGCATTGCCTACAGATATCAGAGCTAGTGTTAATGGTGCCTGCTATCCTCAGAGTGAGGCAGTCAGTACCAGCAGGACTCCTAGGAGCTATACTGTCTGGGGTGCACTATAAAGGGGCTCTTCATACACATGGCTGCTCAGAGCCCTAGAGTACCAACCAGCTCAAGGACCATGCTTCCTCCTTCAGGAAGATACTGCACCATTCTTTTCCCCTTCTCTACTCCTCTTCTGGCAAGTGGTTGATGACGCAAACTCAGTGCAGGGTTTCCTAAGTAACTGTTACCCCTTTGTGTTTTGCTGTGAAAGGCAATAGATCCTTTAATCTCATACCATGTCTAGCAGAAAGCTTTACCCTTAGAGAGCCTAGCTGTACAGCAATTTAAAATAGGTCAAAAAAATGTAGCTACAAAACAGTTCCAATGTGTAGCACAGACAGGCCCTTACTTATGTGCTATTGGCCAAAGCCCTGCAAGCACCAAAATGGAACTACATTGCATTGGGAATCCCAGTTATTACTGCAATATACATGAGTCCTGAGCTGAATCTGGAGGCCTATAGGACTTTAAGGCAGTCAGGCAAAGATCTCACTAGCAAAGCCCAGCTCTACTGTAAGTATAAAAAAGTAGCACCATATACACAGCAGTAACAACATTGGAAACTATGATCAACTTGCTTTTTTGCAATGTCTTAGAATAACACTAAATGTCCAACAGAACATTTCACTTGTATTCTCAGCTATACTACTAGTTTTATACATTAGAGAACGTAGTAGCCATGGAGAAAACTATCACATGGAGTCCTCTGGTCCACTAAAGTAATTTACTAATCTGAACTGTAACAGTAACTCTTCTGTCACCCAAATATCCAACCTCCATTTGATATAGGACGGCTCTGGTGAAATAACTGGAATGTGCTAATGCAGTGTAATTAGATACTGTCATCAAACATAAATGTGTTCAAGAGTGTCTTGATCCTCTCAAATCTTATTAAAAAATAAGGACGGTACACTATGGAAAATGTGCTTGGAACAAACAGTTGATTGTACCAGCAACCTAATGACGGACGTTTGGATTCTTTCACAGTGAGAATTTCTAAAACAAGAACCAATATACCTTGAGTTTAAAAAAAAAAAATCCCTGGAATCTCTTAGCCAGCCTTATTGTAAATACTCAATTGACTGGTTGTAAGAGCTACTCTTATATCGTTTTCAAACAAACCCAGCACATCTTTATGCTTAAGGGAGAACAAGGGAGGGAAACTGTACTTAAAATAGTATTGAAGGCTGCACTTTTCACCCATAGATCAATGAGATGTCAGGGTGTATGATCAATTAGCAATATTCTCTGTTGATAAGGTGGCAGTGATCTACAAGAAACAAGCTTACATGAAAGTTTCTCTAACTTACAGTGAGCACACTGGGTGCTGGAGGACCATTGTTTTTTTCTGCATGTTTGTTTAATCTTAAAACATGGGGCAGATTTTCAGATTGAGCAAGTTGTACATATGAGCATCGGGTTCACGTGCACTTTTACTTGCCCATATTTGAAAGTCTAGCCCTGTTGTTTATACTGTAAATGGTCACAGAAGAGGCCAGTGTCCACATGTTAAAAAAGAAACACATAACCAGCCAAAATACTAGTTTGGTATCAGGACCTCTAGTTTAGAAATTCACCACATCATAGTCATGGGCCTGTATGCTTTGTTCACATCCACTTGCATTTTTTCTTTTCTTCAAATAAGGCTTTTACATGCAGGAGATCTTTCTGGGCATCTTCTAGTCCTTGTTCTTTCTCTAGTTTATGCAGAATCTGTCAACAATTAATTAGAAAAAGGTGGGTTTTTTTTTGCTACTTGTTTTAAGCACACACTTCTCATCTGAAGGTATCAGTGGTAAGAATCATCTGAACTTGTGCCTATAACTTTTTTTTCAAACGTTAACACACTATTTCTATGCCTTGTTTCACAAGTCATTACAATCGCAGGATCTATAACGCTTCTGCTGAAAATAGCAACCACAGTTTCAAAAAAAATACCCTCCCGCCCCACCCTTGACTTAGTAAATGCAAGGTCAGCACACTACCTGCAGCACAGTCTAATTTAGAATTGCTCCTGTACATCACCCTCAGGGTCCTGTGTAAGTCGGTGTTGTCCAGGTGTATCACTTCCTATAAATAATACACTTGGCCTTGGGCCAAAGGATGTGAAGTAGAGCAGTGCTGCACTTTAAAACACACCTTGCTGGCATTTAAATCCATAATGTGGCATAGGAAGGACCTCTAAGCCTGTAGATACCACAGATTAATAAAACATAATTACTAGGTTAGCGGCAATTGTAATTTAAGGTTCTGGAGGCAACAGTTTAAGTACCTCAATAAAGACAGATGAAAGACATTTAAAAGGCACCAGTAGAGTCATTTAACAATTATCTTAAATGGCAAAGGACATGCTTGGATGCAGAATCCAGGTAAGTTGAGCTGGAAACTAATCAGCAGAATCTGCTAGTGCTATGTTCTGTAGGAGGGTCAGATCTGCTAGAAATGCCCCACACAACTCTATACTATAGTCTCACTTCTCTGCCCCTCCTCCCCCCTCCAAATGTCTCCCACATCTCTCCAGGGCCAGGCTCAGATCAGCACCTTTACTTCATTCACCCAGAGTGGGGGAGCCCAAAATCAAAGCAGGGTGCAGGGAATTTTCTGACATGGAGAATAGTCCTCCGTGCTGGAACATACTGAGCAGGAATTGACTCTGCTTTGGTGTGAAATTTAGCTCCTGGATTGAATAAAATGATAACCATACCAATGACAATGAATTCTGGCTCAGCTCCACAATAGCAGATAGGCTCTTACCTTCTATTGAAAACAACAGGAGTTAGGAGACTAAATAACGGGGGGAGGAGGGGTCTAGGCTTCTAATTTTACTTGATCTAGCACACCAAACCCCAGACAGTTCCAGACTCTCCAGGGAAATGCAAACCACAACCAGAAAGGACACTCTCTCAATGACTTAACCACCTGCATTCTGCTACAAAGACCTTTTACATCTGCACTTGAAAGGGAATCCTCTGAACTGTCATTCATGTTAAAATTCGACACTTTCCAACAAGGACTTAACAAACATTTGAACTATCTCGCCCATTACCAAGATAGTTTCCCCAATTATCACCTCTAATACCATTAACTCACAAACATCCCACTCTCCCTACCTCTAATATTATCAATTCACAGACACTTACCTTCCTCCCTTCCCCCCCCCGCTGCATCCCCCTCCTGTTCTGCAATATGATTTGTCCTTTTCATATTTGTTCATTTTTTTTAATTGTATCCTTTGGTATATATGGTTGTGACTACTTTCTTCCACTATTTGATCTGAGGAAGTGGGTCTGGCCCACGAAAGCTCATCATCTAATAAACCATCTTGTTAGTCTTTAAAGTGCTACATTGTCCTGCATTTTGCTTCAACTACCCCAGACTAACACAGCTACATTTCTATCACAACCCTCTGTGCACTGTGACTTCTATTTAAGAATCACTCAGCAATATTTCCAAACCTTTTGGGACAGGAAACATAAAACACAGTGTCCTTCTGCAACTGCTGGGGGAACTTAAAGTCACTTTGGAAAGTGGTGGCAGGGAATAAGATATGTTCCAACAGCTTAGTCCAAAGATGGTATAAATACAGGACATTTACCCCCATGCCAGATATTGGTTCTTCACAGAGTCAAACAATATCTGATTCTCAGTGCACAGAGGGTTGTGGGTTACATTTCCCTGCAGAGTCTGGAACTGTCTGGGGTTTGATGTGCTCGATCACATAGCATTACAAGCCTAGATCCCCCATTCTCCAGTTACCAGTAGCCTCTCTCTGACATTTTCTTGGAGGGTTTCCAGACTAGACACTGCTTAGCTTGAAAAGTCAAAGCTGTAACTCTCCATTAACTGCATAAATAGGAATAATATATAGTCTTACTTCATCAAAATATTTTGCTATGTATTTGTAGATTTCAGTCAAGGCCACATCTTCATTAAATTCATTTTCATGTTTCTAAAGAAGAAAAGAGCTGATGAAACAGTTTTGTTTTTTAAAAAGTAACAAAGTCAGTGAAATATCTGCTTTTTTAATGATACCTTAGATTCCTGAGTTAAAAATTCTTCTGCTTCTGAGGGCAATAGAGGCAAATCCCTGATGGCTTTATAGTAAGCTTTTACCTCCTCCTTGTACAGTGGAATATCCTTAGCATAGAGAAGTTTATTTGTTGGTGCTTCCTTAAAAAGAAAACATTATGAAAACTTGTAAATTCGTAGAAAATTCTTTCAAAGCAACATCTACCTAGATTGTTCAATTTGTTATTTTCCTATGAGATAGAGTAACAAAGGGTGAAATAGAGGAGTTTCACCACTGACTTTTTCACTTGAGCCAGGATTTCATTAAAAAAGCATTACACAGTTTAAAATAACATTTTTGGTCAGAAAACAGCAAAATAATATGAAGGCAAGGCATTACCTTTCCCAACTGTTGTTCTGTTAGAGAAAAGGCATCCATGAAAGCTTGTGCAATTACTGACAAACAGCCATCTATATGTGGTGTCTTTTTAATATCAAAGACAAACTGAGGGTTCTTTAATATGTTCACCCAGAAGCGAAGAGGAAGACTAATCAAAGAAAGGACAAACACTTTAAATTCAGCAGTGTATATCAGATGACTAGCACCATACTGACAGGCACAATTCTCAGCTACTCATTCATGCAGTAACAAGCATTAGTGAATGCCACAAAGCTACCACACCAGTCAAAGCCTCTCTGGATTTTTAAAGACTTCCTTTGGATAAGGACATCGGTGTTTTAAATCAAATTTCTAGAAGCTATGATGCTGCATATCAGAATCTAACTGATATATTAGAGCTCCAGGCAGATAGATAACTTGGATCCATGCAGTCAAACCACAAAAACCAGTGAGCAATACTCAATTTTAACTACGTGATACATTTTTTTCACAAACAGCAAGAGGGCTAGATTGTTTGCTTCATCACTAAAGTTACAGCATTAACTCCAAGACAGATTATATAATAAGGTGTAAGCAACCTGTTCCAATTCCATTTATGTACAGTAAGAACACACACACACAAACCTGTTGGTTTTCCATATATGGACCACATCAGGATCTGTAATTTTTTTACTTTCAGCCTGAGCATCCAAAAAGTCAAAAAAGTATTTGATGGCAATTGGAGCTTTATTGTTGGGTAAACTCCAAATGCTTTTAAAGAGGTTTTCAACAACTAAATGGATTGCAACCTGAAAAGCAAGAAAATGAGTCCTGTTAATACAAGTTAAAAGGACAACCTTTCTCCAGATGGAAAAGGGAGCTGAAACACAATCCAAGTGAAACATACATAGAAATTAAGGTGAGGGGTTGATGCATGTGTATGCATGCACTCATACACTCTATAGTATAGGTAAAATTGACTTAACAGGCATGGAGAGAAACAGAAACAGCGAAGAAAACCTGGAGAATTATCACCATCAGCAATGCTAATGGCTCCCCAGTGATGCTATGTTTCATCAACAGGGAGAATTGTGGCAAATGTAAAGATGAACTCTATGTTAGAGGAGGGACTGTCTTGAGCTCTTTCCTGCTTCTTTCAAATACATCAGGTAACACCACACAATTGTAACAGAATTTTTTTACCTTTTCCAAAAAGATACTTGAGATCAGAAATACCTCAGGCGCTCACTTTATTATTTTTTGGGAGGGAAAGGTCTTATCAAGATTTCTAGAGGACCTGACTAATGATATCACATGAGAGTGTAAACCAAGCTGTTGTTCTACTGCCCTGGTTCACAACTGAGAGAAGAGGTGTTGTTTGTTTGTTTTGCATCTTAAGACTCAACAACAGCAGGGCCAGGCAGTTAATAAAAATGTATGGACACTATTCAGACATTATTAAGGCAGCGGGAACAGCAAAAAACATAACATTATGAAAGCTAAAAGTATAACTGGGTTTAAAAGATGAATTTGACAACTACATAAAGAACAGGTTTATCATTCATCAGGATGGTCAAGGACTCAATCTCTGAACCTCCAACTGCTAGGAGCTGGGACGAGAGTTCATAGAATGTGGCCCAACATAACAACATTTCATTTAGTCCATGGTACATACATACAGCATGTTAGTGTAATAGTTTCAAAGCATTGTTTTAGTCTCCTGCTCACACTGGATGCAGTATATTATTATAAGGTAGCAGATGATTAATTTCCTTTAAAGAACTTTAAGACTATTTCTGTTTTGTGGTTTCTCAGCCTCTAAAAACTGATCTTTTCCACAGCAGCTAGATTCTAGGTCAGTTTGCCAACAATACTAGGCATCAAGAATTGCAGGACCAGGATTGATTTTTTTGGATCTTGGTCTTCATTCTCTTTTGAAAGTACCCTGACATATTCTGGGTGTTTTCATAACCCTAATCATTACAGACTGCTCGATTTAAGGCCATGTTTGAATGCCTAAACACAGAATTTAATCCAGTAAGAGACCTGATAAGAATGCTGTTGCTAAGAGCTTTTAATTTATATTATGTTGCATTTATTTCAGATAACTCACTCTCATATAGTAAGGTTGTGGGGATTTTTGATAATGATGGTGGGGAATGTTTCTAAAATTATGGACTGTACGAATTAGATCCCTGCACTCTAAACATTATGATCTACTTTTTCAACAGTAACTTATATTTTTAAAAATAATAATGGGTGCACAGCGCTTTCTATAAAGCAGACGCTTTCAAGGTATCTCAAGCAGGATACCCAAAGTCTCAAATAATTTTAGAACACTTAGGCCATAGTCTATGCATCCAGAAAGTGAAATCCCGGCTCTATGGAAGACAACAGTAAAACTCACACTAGCTTCAACAGGGTCGGGTTTCACCAAAATTTTTATAAACACTGACCTCTCCTTTGCCTAATATAACAAGTAGGAACCCCATTTCCTCCAGTAACTACAATCGTAATCCTCAAAAGGCCAGGAGAATAATTGGTCTCATAATTATGCTGAGATGGTCGAATGCTTTACTAGATTGCTATCTTAGGGCTCCACTTTGCCAATCTGTAAAATATAGTTAGTTGTGAGAGTGATAAAAATCTGCAGCTAGTAGTGATTTTACTGTTTAACATTGTCATACACGTACATCCGGTTTGCATAATAATTTCCATTCCAATTTTTGCTATGTCAAGCATGCAACCCAGCCTACCCCAAAATGAATCCTGAATTATTACCTTGGTAGATAGCAGCTTTGTCAAATACATTTCTTTCATTTCAAATTTCTGTTTTCCTTTGTGCATTGCTCCCTGTGGCTCCTCAGAATCAGGTAAAATCTACAGGAAGGGAAAGACAGATATTATCCTGATATAATCATGCAGGCATTAGATATATGAACCATTACGTGGCTGGTTAATTTAACTCACCAAATGGCAGTGGTCATTAGCATATTCTGCATCTAAGCAATGGGAAAAGAATAAAAAGCATGAATGGCTGTCAGTTAAATGCACGCCACAATGGCTATATCTTTATTTTGGGCTATGCACCCATGCCAGGAAGTAAGACCTTCACTATACATTTTAGGCAGGCTATCAGACTGTAGGTGAGAGTTCACAGGTCCTGCATTTCACTTACTCCCTCTACATAAGTGGGCAGGGAGGGGTTAGGGAAATGAACAGAGCCATGTTTCCAATTGCCCCTTCCTTCTGTGGCCAGCAAACTGAGCCAGCCCTGGGCTATCATAATTTGTTGCTGGTGTAGGACAGTAGGAAATTACTTCTCTCTTGGTGCAAGGTGGGGGGCATGATGGAATTGTAACTCCAAAATGTTAATAGTGGTACAATTTTGTAATGCTGACAAATCCTGAAAGGGAGATGGAAGTCAGCTTCTGCCTGGGACAGCCTGTGTAGGGGAAGCATGGTTTACAGAAAAGAGACCAACAGTGAATGGCATGGGAGAGAGCAACTTCAGCATGCAGCAATCCTAGACCACACTCAGTGTTGCTTGACATCTACCATGTATCTTGTACTTACTGGTGTGTTATTGAAATAGCTGAGTCAAAAATTCTAGGTTTACTAAGTGCTTAATGGAGCTGCCTTGAAGTTCTGTCTTTAACTGCTTACTGTTCTAGTTCATACAATTGTTCATAAGTTTCCTGTGCACCATTTACATTTTCATTAGACAACAGTTGTGATGTTTATACTTCTTTGCCTTGCCATCTAGCCACTCAATCTCTGTGTCTTTTGATCTCTTCTTCCCAATGCCCTGTGGAGGTGTTGCCTGTCAGGCTCAGAGCAAGATTAAAATGGATGTCCCTGTTCTCAGTTACAGTTCAATGTCAAGTTTTTAGTATTGTACCTCTGAGATATAAACTACTATAAACACAACTTTCTACAACTTTATTACAGTCTTAATATACAAAATAAATAAATAATTCAGTTCCTTTGTTACCTGATGTGAAATTAGTTTCCTTTTTAAAGACTTTTATAGTTGCTCCATCTGAAATCTGAAAGCACAAACAAATACCTCTTACTGAAATATATGTCCATAATTAACGAAGCCCTAGGTTTCACTTCCTCATCCCTACGATACACCTCAAATCATACAAAATGTGAGTTGTACTGGCATTATCCATTCTCAGCATAGCACACATAGCTCACTACACATTTAGGCCCAGATCCTCAAAGGTATTTTGGCTCCCAAGTCTCATTGATTGCATCAACTTTGAAGATCTGGGCCTTAAAGCCTTATTTTCAGAGATGCTGGGCTTTAACTGGAGTAACAGAAATTCATCACCTCTGAAAATCAACTGCTAAGGCTTTCCTCCTTGCCAGATTTAGCTGGTTTATCTATGCTCTGCATCTATCTCCTTAGGTTTCATTAATCTTTCCCTGTTTTCTGCTCTCCCTTCACATTCCTACATCTGTGGATTCCCTACAGGGTTGATACAATAAAGATTTGCAACCCCTTAGCCTGGCTTCCCACCAAACCCCTTCCCATGTGGGGATGATGCAGTGAAGGCAAAGGATGCCTTTGTTTACTCTTCGCAAAGGAGGCTGAGATCTGCATTTTGCAGATGATGAGGCCTCAAGTTCCTAATAGTTAACTTCCAGTCTTCAATTTCCAAAGGGATGAAGATCAAACTTGTGTATTGTAGCTTTCTTCACTTCAGCTGCCTGGAGACTTCTAGGAAAATCCTCATCCTCCCTCTATGAATAAATTCCAATGTGAAGGCAGTAAATCTCCTCTTAAAAAGAAACTGGTGAGTCATACTGTTACTGTCAAAGAATGGATCCAAAGCCAATCCTGTGTAGTGCTAAGTGTAGTCAGTTGTTGAATCCTTTGCTTTGCCAAGTGCCTGCACACTCTGCTCTATAATTACAAAAACAGCTGTCCAACCCCATGAAGGAGCTCTGCCAAAATAATTTAAATGCCTTTTATAGCCTTGGCAGGCAGCCCACTGCTGGGAAGCAGCATGAGCATGAAGATACTTTGTAGAAAGCTGTGCCCTCTAGGAATGTGAACGTTTAACCAGTTAACAAGTAAGGTTAGCCACGGGCAGGGGGCTGCTCCAGCCCTTCTGGGGGACCTAACGCAGTCCTGGGCTGCTTCAGTATCCAGAACAGCCTCTGTCTGTGGGGGACCCTCCGCAAGTAGGGGCTACTCCAGCATCCACTCCAGCCCCCCCACCAATCCCACCTTTAACTGGTTAAACAATATGTTTAAGTGGTTAACCAATTAAAAAAATGTCTTGTGCCAAAGAAATCTTGCCCTTACACTTGTTCCTGAGAGGCAGACACAGAGTATTTTATAAGTATATTGATAAAGAATAGGTTTCCTATGATAATGCAGTGTTTTGCAGTTCATCCAGAGCTGTAGGGATGTTTCAGCATATACTATGTTAAGACCACTCTAAAACTGGGCAAATTTCTTAGGACTAAATTGTGATTTGCACCAGGTACCCATATGAGAGAGAGAGAATCCCCCTTAACCCTCTGTGTGAGTGACGTGCACCACAGAACTGGTTAGTTTACTCCCTTCTTGGAGTGGAGGCACATGGAATAAGCAAAGCCTTGGTGCTAGGCCCTCACACTCATAAGCCCAGAGGGCAGATTAACTCTAATATACACCAGCTACTGCCCAGGGTTGTCGTCATCATCCTTCACACCCACTGGCGCGTAGGGCAGCAAAGGGTAAGAGGTACAGGGAGGGAATTATGGTTCCCTATAGAAAGTGATGCCAGGAGTGCAGGGCTGCCCCCTACAATGAATCATGTATCTGTGACAAAAGTCAGCCCTTAATGGGAAAAAAGTTTCTCTTTTCTGTTGTTATTTTGACCAAATCCGCCATTTCTTCCTCCAAAATATATAAACAGTGAGGCCCTTCTTTTTTGTCCTGATGCTTCAGTTGCTTGTTCATGATCTCATCATTTCCACAGGCATATTATTAATTTATAAGATGCACAGTTTCATGTATCTGTAGCATGGGGCATGTGCCTTTCAGAACAGCTAAAGAGGAAGCAGTCTGCCTTTCAGTGTGCCTCTCATTCAGCCCTCTAGGCTTCTTGTCCTCTTATCCACAGAAAACTGTTGTTTGAATGAGGGATCACTGGATCTCACATCTGATTCAAATTGCTTCAGTTTTGTGCCCCTAGAATTCACTGGTGGCTCTGAAGTCTGGGTCATGTAAAATCTGCAACTGGAGAACAGGTGTGTAAGCTGTTTACCAGCTCTGTACTTGCCTGGGGAGCAAGCAAGTAATCTCTTGTCTTGCCTCTTTGTCAAGAGGCTGCTTTTAGGAGAAAGTGTCAGAGATCTTGTAAAAAAACACATCAGTGCCTCCCCTGAATATGCATGCCCTGATGTGCCATTTGTGAATAGTTTCATTAAAGGAGCATACAACACTTCCTAAAGGTGAGGAGCTACTTCTTTTTCTCTTTTTTTTTTCCAGTAAGAAAAAAAAACAATAAAGCCCTAAGAAATGAAATGTGGAAGCTCTATATTAATGCAATGTTAAGGTGCTGGGTTTAAAATTTAAAAGAAAAAGAGTTGGGTAAAACAAAAATTGAGAACCTAAGTATTCGGAAGTGACTGGTATTTTGCATGTTTCTGATTCTGGACACTGAACCTCAGACATTTTAATGACTATTATTCACTGGACTGCACTGCCAAATATAGCATATGTGAGCTACCTAATGGGTATTATTCCCTAATAAAATCACCTCTCCACAAGTAACATGAAATAGCATGTGACTCAACACTAAGAACATTTCATAACTATTGATTGTGATAAAAATTTGTCTAGGTATCCACATGTGGTCACTCTACAGAGTTTTCCCCACCTTGGTGAATATTGGGAGAAATAGGCTCCTAATTTGATGCACTAGTCTGGTTCCTACCTCATAGTGACCTATGGTGTTTAGCTTTGTTATCCCATCTTCCAGAATCACAGTGGAACCATCTATATCTAACAGTTCTCTATGCTGCGCACCAGTCTGAAGTTCTGTAAAACAATGATATTGAAATAGAAGTTACACGCTAAACCTGGTCCAATGAAATGAATATTTGTAAAGCAAAAGATGGCACAGTTATTTTATTATTTTTGACAAATGGTTCCAATCTGAGTTCTACTAACCACAGTCCATGTACTAATTTCCATGAGCATGACTTGTATGCCCTGCCAGTAGAAACCCTTTGTACACTTATGGGTCTCTGGCTGATGAGGTTACTGGAAGTGGCTCACCTTATCTTACTCAAGCCACAATCCAGACAAGAGCTCTCAGCCATCAAGCCCAAATGAATGTTTCAGATGTATCTTATGGAATTGTTTCTAAAACTGGATCGCTGGATGAACCTGTTTCTTTTAGCCATACAGTTTATATAGCCATTTCAGATCAAGATTCTATGATCGTGAGGCATGCTGTTTTCCATCTGCCTTTGAAATGATCTCACTCCTCGTCCCCTTTGGCAGTCTCTTATAGTTATTTGAGTTTTCTTAGTGGCTGCCTGCGTAGGATAGTAAAAGAAAACAGCAGTGCCATGGGGAAAGAAAGAGCCTAGTTTTGGCTGCAGTTGAGAATATTTTTGCTATTGTGATACCCTATGCACATGACTTAGTGCTATTCTGTTGTACAAATGTTTTCTGTCACTGTGGCAGCTAACATGTGTTAGCTAATGTTTGTTAATAACTTTGTGCAAGTAAAGGCAGTTGTGGTTTTAACACAGGAACTCATAAATATAAAATCCTGGGGGCAAGCACAGAGTTATAGCCTTACTAGCTGTATGAATTAACCAGAATTAATTATGACAAAGCCAAATCAACTAATAGCAGCCAAAGCCAGTGACAGGACGTAGGAATCTTCACAGAGACAGCAGCAAACAGAAGAGGATAATGGAAATATAACACTCTCTTACCAAGACCAGTTTCACTGAGCTGAAGACCATAAAGAGAGCCATTCTTATTTAGAAATGCTTGAAAGATCTTGTCTTTGGCCTGCCCTATGGTATCACAATCCAGAACATTAACTTGGATATTAAGACACGTATCTGAACTCTCATTTTCTGGGATTTTTTCAAAGACGACATTCAGTGCCTGCAATAATACAAATGTTGTTCAAATCTACAGAGAATGAGATGGGCTTCACAGTTGCAAACATGCAGATCAGGTTAGACATATGACAAGCTATCACTTATTTAAACTATTTTTCCAATCATAATGTTTGTTTGGTGGAATTAAATAATGAATCAGTGAGATCTAATTAATTCACAGTGTTTGAAGGATCACTGACATGCATGTGTATGTTTTCAAATATGCATTTTTTCTTCTACATGTGTGCCAATGTATGCATTGAGTTACCACTGAAGACCAGAAGAAAGTATACGCCCTAAAATATGCATTTGTTTGGTATATATGGGATTCCTAGAAAATAAAGTTGCACAAGAATAAAAGCTTGAGAAGCAAGCGGCCATAATAAGCATTTTTGTCTCTTAAATTGGAAGGGATGTTAAAATACACATCACTGATCAGCATCTATTGTTATTGATGAGAAGAACATATCACAAGCACCTATGGAAATTTGCATCCATCAGAATCCAAGTATTTCTTCACCACTCACTTGCCACACCCACTGGCAAGAGGGTGTGGTGGCAAGTGAGTGGTGCAAGTTAAGTACAAAGCCATCTATTCACATATTGTTTGGAATCTGATTTGAATGAGGAGGTCTACACAGTTCATAATCATGTGTGTCTGGGAGCCAGCTTGTTTGCCAGACTATACTCAGAATGGGGTCAGCCCACTAGTAGGCCACATCCATGGACCATACCTGAAATGTTCTGCTAGCCACAGGAGGAGAACAGAAGGGAGAGGGAGATGAGTGTGGATGCATGACTAGGTTTAAGTTTGAGGCAGTGATAACAAAGCTTTGCTAATATTGTAAGATGCTTGTGTGTATACGACTAGATGATTAACAGATAAGCCTAGGTTTATTGGTTAATCCTCTCAACTACACATATTTCCCTCCCCTCCATCCCCCCGCTGCCTCTATATCAGAAGCAGCAGGGGGAGGCAGGAGCTGGTCTGATAGAGGCAGCAGAGTGAAGGGTGAGGGGCAGGCAGAAGCTGATACATATGGGGAGCTAGCTTAAAACAGAGGCGGCAGGGGTGGGGGCAGCAGCATGGTGGGGGGAAAGGAGGCTGTTGCAAAGCAGCCTCTGGTCCATGGTGGGCCTGGGCTCCCTGCAGATAGAGGCTGCTCCACAGCAGCAGCCCATGTCCGCAGGGGGTCCGAGCTCCCCACAGACATGGGCTGCTCCATGCCAGAGTAGCCTCTGTCTGTGGGGAGCTCGGACCTCCTGTGGACAGGGTCTGCTGCCATCCAGTGCTGCTGCCTCTGTATCAGGGGCAGCAGCATGGGTCAGCAGGCGGGAGCTGGTCTGCATGGATAGCCACTTTAAAAACTGCCTCCCCTCGCAGACCAGCTCCTGCCTGCCACCCCGTGCTGCTGCCTCTGATAGAGAGGCAGCAGTGTTGAGTGGCAGGGGGCTCCCCAGGAGCGGGGTTGGGAGCGCACTGGCTGCTGGCCCTGCCACTAGGGACTATCAAATAGTTGTGTACCTGCTAAAATTTGATGTGGTTACACAACTATTCAATTACACTCTATCTATCATCCCTAATTTGCTTATACCATGTTAGCATCTGTTCCATGTGTGACAGAAACAAATGTTTTAAAAGTCTGTCACTGAATGCAAGCCACAGAGGAAAAACTAATGTAATAACGCTCTACATTTAAGCAGCTGAACACATGTTCTAATAAACCTCTCACTGAAACATGAGGATCGTGGGTGTGACTCACTAGAGGAAAGATTGTTAAAAGAGGAAGCAACTAAAAATGTCATTTTTTTCCTTTCTACTCTCATGAGAGCAGGAGACAAGTTAGCCTCAAGCCATTGTGTGCGCCTGTTTTCTCTTCCAGATTTAGAGATATAATTATAATAGATGTCGAGTGTGGGTTTTTTTGTTTTTTAAATCAGCCATGAGTGGAAACTACTACATTGTGCTAAGGAAAGAAAAGGAAATTAATGTCTCTTTTGGTTCTTAACTTCCCTCTTTCTACAAAAACAGATGGAGTATAAAAAACAAGATTACAAAACTGCAGATGTCAGGATTTAATGAACAATACAATATGATGTAATTGAAGTAACTGAGAATGATTTAATCAGGACATAGAGATGCTTAATTACCAGAGTAATTAAGGACAAACTGAAAGAACCAACTGAGTGGAACAGGAGGAGATACGGTCATGGTGAGGGAGGACATTGCACCTAAAGAAAGAAATGAGTATTGGCTGAGATGCTTTGCAGTGACTTTGATGCAGAATAACCACAAAAAGAAAATATACATGACTTACACTTAGGGCCTGATCCAAAGTTTTATGATCTCGATGGAAGTCTCACCATCAACTTCAACAGGCTTTGGATCATAACATTAAACAATAGAATCATTTGGGCAAAAATTACTTAATATTTTATCTACGGCCTGATCTAAGGTCACTGAAGTCTATGGGAAGACTCCCATGGGATCAGTGGCTCTCAAACTTACTTGATCAGCACCCCCTCCCCCCATTCTTTGTATCTGTTGTTGTTCATGGCCCTCTGGCCCAAGTACATATACTGCCACCCAGCTCTGAAGGCAGTGCTGCATCAGCAGTGGTACAGAAGGCTGGCAATGTGAAAAAGATATTCATGAATATCACTTTTCTCAGCAGACTTAGTGCCCCATGGGTATCCTTCATTCTGCACTATTGCCCTGGCGCTGACAAAGCCCTGCTGCCTCCACCTAAGGGACTGGGGAAGAAGGTGAGCTAAAGCTCATGTGGCAGGATTTGGGCTATCCCCCTTATTCCCACCTATTGCATGAGCACTAGCCACCTGGGACAAACACCCCAGAAAGAAAAAAAAAACATAGCTCGTGCCTCCACTGACACATCCCCATGGCACTCTAGTTCATTCCTCTGCTAGTAGCTGGATTTTAAACTAAACACATTCAAGGGTGCTTACTGAGTCGTAAATGAAAGCCGATTCCTCTTCACCTTCTTGCAAATGTGTTTTATGGTTTAGCTGATTTTCCTATAATAGCATTGTCCCCACAAAATAATACAAACTTCCTTGTTTCAATCTGACACGCTCTTGTTTTTGGAGTAACAAGAAAAGTTATGTTTCCTCTGTCCTTATAGGTTAATGCTACAGACTAAACACATTTCTCTCCCCATCAATTAGTAAAGCTTTTAGCAGGCTGGCCAGCAGCCTGGCTCAGTTTTGGCTCATGGTGGGTCCAGGACCTATCTTTGCTGTGGCTCTGCATTTAAAGTGTATTAGGAGTTGGGCAGGCAGGCAGCCTGGCTCTAGGGTTGCCAGGTGTCCGGTACTGACCCAGATAGTCCGGTATTTTTGCCTCCTGTCCGGTAAAAAAAATCAGAAAATACCAGACACCTAAAATATCCGGTATTTTCTGATTTTTTTCCTTGCCAGGAGGCAAAAATACCAGACACCTGGCAACCCTACACACACTCAGCAACCGAACCCAGTCCCTCCTCCCCCAGACCTCCCTCTTACCTGGCTCGGATCAGGAAAACAAGATGGCCACCGGCAAAAAGCCTCAAAGGCTTTTCTTAAAGGGGCCATGCTTTTTTATTATTATTATTTTTTTTTGCTTAATAACTCTCAGGGATCCCCCCCCCCCTCCAACACTTTTATTTCCCCCCCCCTTTTTTCCCCCCTTTTTTCCCTCAACTGAATTTTTTCCCCAGTGTTTTTTTTTGGGGGGGAGGGGAGGGTTTGGTATTTTTGGTTAAACCATCTGGCAACCCTACCTGGCTCAGTTCCAGTTCAAACCAGGTCCAGGAGCTCAGATCTGCCCCTGCCCACCCCCGCCAAGACAGGGGCTGCTGCCACCCGCACTGCTGCCTCTTTATCAGAGGCAGCAGCATAGGGCGGCAAGCAGCCAGTCTGCAAGAGGAGCTAGTTTTTAAACTGGCTCCCCTCATGGACTAGCTCCAGCCTAGCACTCCACACTGCTGCTGGCCCTGCCCCCAGGGACTATAGAGTAGTCAACTAACTGATAAGAATTCAATTAACCAATATTTAACATCCCTAATCAGAACCCAATGGAATAAGGTAGGCCTGGGTCCTTCTACCCCTCATAGGTTCTTTGGCCTCGCTGCCCGGAGGACAATGGCAGCTCCCTAATCTCTGACTCCTAGGCCTTGCTACCTGACCACGCGACATCACATTCAACAAAGGAAGGCATTCTCCCCTGTAATGTGGTCACAGTTTTTTCCCCACCCATCAGGGAGGGAGACCACTTCCCCTCTCTCCAATGCTTGTGGGGCAAGTCAGTTCAGGAGGGAATTAGCTGACAGTTCTGGCCTACAGTCAGGCTGAGCAGCAGACAATCTATATGCCTGGAGGCTCAATCAGGGACAGTGCAGTAAACAGTTAATGTCTCTGGCCTACAATCAGGTAGAATGATGCAGCAGTCTAGCAGGATCAGCTCTCAGGTAGGACAGAGGGTCAGCAAAACTGTCTGGTGTCCTTGCTTGGGCAGGCAACCAATGCAGATTCTTGGCCTAAAGGTGGGGAGGCTGCCACCCTCTGCGGTGAGGTGGTAGGAGGGATTGGCACAGGCCCACATGAATCCACTGCATCCCAGTTCAGGCCATAACATGACATATCCCTGAGAGACGTAAGAATCTTGTGTGGAAGGGTTTCTTTTTTGGGAAAAATGGAAGTGGCTACACTGCTTCCTTTTGTGCAAAATCCTCTTGCACAAAAAGAATCCACAGAAAATATGCTAATGATGTCGTGACTCATGCTAATGAACCCCTCATTCGCATATTTTCTGCCACAAAAACTTGCAGTGTAGACAAAGCCACAGCGAAAAGAGACTAGGTCTGAAAGCTGATATTCCCTTATTACAGTTCAGGGCAACAACATTTGTGCTGTCCCTCTTTGTTCCTTTAAGGACACCCACTCTAGACTCCTGTCTCTCTCCCACTCCTGATGGGGTTTTTCCCCCAGGCTTCTGAGTTCCCTGCCTATGCTGAGAGACTCCCAGCATACCAGACTGTTTAAACATGCTACCATCTGTGCTCTGCTTTCTCTTCAAGAGGCTAGGAACAGCACAATTGCCAGAAGTTTGATGCTATCATCCAGATCTTTATAAGCAAGCAATTTATTCTTAAGGTAAAAGCATTACAGAAAAAAACACATAAAAACAATGTAAGTTCCTATAAGAATAGTATAAGCTAACTAGCAGTGACCCGTCAGTCATACAAAGCTCTAATCGGTCAAGTCTTCCGACCTCTCCATAGGGATTGATGTCCTACCTCAGACAGATGTTCCTATCCATATCATTGCTGGATAAGAAAGAATCAGTTTAAACTTGTAGAACAGTAATAGAGATGTAGCCGTGTTAGTCTGGTCTTGTTGAAACAAAAGACAGGACTATGCAGCACTTTAAAGACTAACAAGATGGTTTATTAGGTGATGAGCTTTCATGGGCCAGACCCACTTCCTCAATTTGATCTGAGGAAGTGGGTCTGGCCCATGAAAGCTCATCACTTAATAAACCATCTTGTTAGTCTTTAAAGTGCTACACAGTCCTGCTTTTTGTTTCAGTTTAAACTTGGGCTTTTTATTCAAAAGTCACTTCTTTGCCTGTTGGCCTCTGAAGAATCCAGTTTGACTGGGTACATATGAGCCAGCTCTGGAGGTGAGCTGCTGTAGTAAGCCTCCCCTGCGGAATTACATACAATCCCTAGCACACAATGGTACATAAATGTAATAAAGTAAGATCGCCCAAAGATATTGCAGGAAATTGCCGTATCTGTCACAACCTTCACAGAGAATGTCCTTCCTCTCTTCTACACCCATCAAATGCTGGTCTGGATTAGCTCAAGTTTGTGTAATTTCCTGTTTAAAATATATGTTTTACTCTAGGCCAGACTGAATGAACCTGGAGCAGGGTTTTGGACCACATTCTAACAAAAGTTATCAGTTTCCCACTTCCTCTTCTGTTCACAATCACACAGGCCAATTCATTCTTCCATGTAGAATTACACAAACCATTTTCTCTCCCTGACAGCAAAATGGCTACATGGCAACAGAAGCAACTGCGTACTTGAAAAACCAGGAAAGCATTAGGTTAGCTTTCACTGAGTGCTCAATACCTACGCTTCTTAACTGCTTTTGAAAATCTCACCCTTAAAATAGTTTTAACTTATTTCAATGTGTTTTAGTGTGAGAAATAAGGAGAACCAATGTCATGGGCCTTGTCCCTTCTCTGTGGGCCACTAGCATTTGGTGCATGGATCACAATTGGGAAACCCCAGTTCTAGACAGTTAATAGGTTTTATATGCAGAACAGTAAATGTGCAGCACCAAATATTTGTTACAAACCAGTAAAAGAAAAAGGAAAGAAAGAAAGAAAGTGCAAGGTGTCATAGCACAGAGGATAGAGAAAATGTTTAATTAAAGTTTTGCAATCAGCTTTTTTTTTAAATATCTTGGTAATTCAGCTTGAAAGTACCTTCAGTAGTAGCTATATTGCAGTTATAAATGCAAAATGTTAAGAACAAATCTGTGGATAGAGGAAAGTTTTAACACCACCTTCCTGGAATTTTATGATTTAGCTAAATTTCATAGAAACCTTGTTTTCAAATCAAGCAAGTAATTAAAATCCACCACACTCAACCTTACTAATTTGCAGCTAATGACAGGAAGGCCCACAATGAATTACTAAATTATGAGGATTATTGAATAAGCAAACAATAAAATCACCAGTATCCAGCATCACAAATTTTCCAGTATATATTTGAGAAGTGTAATCTAGTTTTAAATCTCTATTTCAATGCTTCCCTGTGTACTTACAAATGTTCTGTATTATAATTTATTACCAGAATAAACCTGAAGTACCATGAGACCTCGATACAGTGTTTTGCTATTTTATCACTGCTGTGAAGTGGAGAGTATCAGATTGATGAAACATGGGTTAATTCATATCTACTATGTTCTGAAACTGTGTTAATGATCACTTTTTTTTTTGCCCACATTTATCATAACCATCACTGCAGTATCTAAGAGCCTTAATTTAGCATCCCAACATAAGAAGAATGTTGTGGATTCTTTCAAAACATTTCAATATTTGGAGGAAAAGCAACTTAGCAAACATACCACTGGTTTGAATTCGGTCACTTGCCACAGAAGCCAGTCTTCATTTAGTGTATACAGGGCTTTGCAAGTGATTACATCTACTGGACCTTTGTTTATCCTCTGATTGAGGGCAGTCACAAGCTTATAAAATGGTTCTCCAACTGTCTCCTAAGAAATAAAACCAAACACACTCAAACAACAGCTTTAGCTCTTTTTCTGCATTTCCACTGAATCTGTAGTGGGACATCAACAATCTGAAGCCAATCAAATTAACTTCCTTTTTGGCCAAGTTGCGCAGCTGTCTAACAATTAAAAATAATTTCTGTCCAGATTTATCTGCTCTTTTGTAAGTCCTCTTCCCTTTCTCTTAATTCAATGGTAAGAGTCAGCTGGAGCTCTCAGAAGGTCCGGCCACCTTTTCCTAGCTACAAGGGATCCAACCACCCCAAGCTACCCATTGCTCCTCAGCCCCACGAAGAGGGTTGGAGGTGAAAGACAGGATTCCTCTGACTCTCCTCTAGCTCTATATTTGGTTCCTGGGAAAAAGGCTTAGGTCACTAGGCTCAAACCACCTTGTGGCTGTACTAGTAATAAACACCCTCTTGCAGGCCCTAAGGCAAACAACATGACTTCCCTGCAGAATAGGGCATGGGAGAGACGTCATCATATCAGTACACAAAATAACCCCAAACAATAAAATTGTACACAATATGCAACCAAATAGGCTAAATTAAACATACTGTAAAAGAAGAGAGCTAATTTCCCCCTAACCTTTTACAGTTCTATTAATCATAGAGTTATCTGTAACAAGAACAGGTAAAAAATTCGAACAGAAGTCAGGTTTTCAAAATGACAGTGTCCCTTTAAAATCTCTCAAAGCATAGTTCTACAGTAGCTTCAAGGAAGAATGCAATGTGTACCCTCTAACTAAAAGTGACTCTTGATAAGAAAATATTGATGGGATTTGGATTAATAATATGTAAACCACCAGAAGAAAATGTTGACTAATCACAGTTAACTCACATGATTAACTCAAAAATTAATCACAATTAAGGCACTGTTAACTAATAAACCGCCAAGTGAAATTTATTGAATATTTTTGATTTTTTCTACATTTTCAGATATAGATTGAACCTCTCTAGTCTAACACACTTGGGACCTGACCAATGCTGAACCAGAGAATTTGCCAGACCACGGGAGGTCAATATTGTCTAGCATTACCAATGCTTCTGCTGATTTCTGGACTCTTAGAAGACATTTAGGGGTAAATCAGAGCTAAATAACAGCACAGATCCAGGACTGACAGCTGTAAACAAACTTTATGGGACCATGGGAAACTTGGCCAAGCCCAGGATAAGTGGACATCTGGCTAACTAAAATCATACTGTACCACAGATAGTGCTGAAACAGAGAGGTTCAACCTGCATATTGATTTCTATTTCAACACAGAATACAAAGTGTACAGTGCTGACTTTATATTATTTTTATTATAAATCTTTGCATTGTAAAAATTATAAACAGAATAGAATTCTTTAGTCCATCTCAAACAAGTATTATAGCGCAGAGGTTTTCAAACTCTGGATTGTGACTTGTAAGGGCAAGCTGCTAGCTGGATGTACGATGCTTTGGTTATCTGCATCTCTGCAGAAACTGGTGATCGCTGCTCCCATTGGCTGCAAATCATCATTACTGGTCAATGGGAGCTGCAGAAAGTAATATCCCCATCCACACGGTTTCCCACAACTTCCACTGGTCATGAATGGCGATCTACTGCCAACAGGGGCTGTGATCGCCTGTACCTGTAGAAGCACAGATAAATAAAGCATCTCATGGCCAGCTAGTAGCTTGCCCTTAAAAGCCGTGACCCTTTGAAAACCCCTGCTATAGTGGAATCTCTTCATTGTGCAAGTGAATCTTTGAAATGTAGATTTTTTTTTTACATAACTGCACTCAAAACTAAAACAGAAAATTATAGAGCCTACAATTTCACTTAGCTCTGCTTCTTGCTCAGCCAAGTGCTAAGACAAACAAGTTTGTTTGCATTTACGGGAGATAATGCTGCTTTCTTCTTATTTACAATATCACCTGAAAGTGAGAACAGACATTTGCATGGAACTTTTGTAGCCAGCTTTGTATGGTATGTGCCAGATATCTTACACATTCATAGGCCTCTTCATGCTTTGGCCACCACCCAAAAGACATCCTTTCATATTGATAAAGCTCATTAAATATAATGTATTAATTAAATTTGTTACTGGACTTCTTGGGGAGAATTGTATGTATCCTGTTCTGTTTTACCCACATTCTGCCATACAGTTCATATTATAGCAGTCTCAGATAATGATTCAGCACACACTTTCACAGCAGATTTGGCAAAACAAAAAGAAGGTACCAAGATGTGATTTCTAAAAATAGCTACATCACTTGACCCAAGGTTAAAGAATCTGAAATGTTGTCCAAAATCTCAGAGAGATGTGATGTGAAGCCTGCTTTCAGAAGTCTTAGAAGAGAAACACTGTGATGCGGCCATTAGAGGACCCAAACCACCAGAAAAGAAAATCAACCTTCTGCTGGTGGCATCTGACTCAGATGATGAAAATGTGCCTTCTGCTCTGCTTTGGACCATTATCAGATAGAACCTGCCATCAGCATGAATATATTTTCTCTGGAATGGTGGATGAAGCATGAAGAGACACACAAATCTTTAGCACATCTGACACAAATATCTTGTGATGTCAGCTACAACAGTATTATGCAAATGCCTGTTTTCCTTTTCAGGTAACATTGTAAAGAATAAGCGGACAGTATTATCTCCTGCAAATTGTAACCTAACTTGTTTGTTGTAGCAATTGTCCAAACAAGAAATCAGCATGCTCTGTTGAAAATATTCATCATTCTAGTGTCTGAGTAAAAGATGTCAAACTTACCCGAAGAAAACCAGAAAGGCAAATAGACATCCAGTTTGTCAGGAGTTTTTCTACAACAGATTCTGTGCGCCTTAGCATGAGCTTAGGTTGCGTGTTGCTAGACTGCTCCATCAAGTCCCTGGTCAAGACTTCTAGAATATGGGTTAGGTAGACTAGTTTACTTTGTAGTGCAATAGTCAAGAAGGATGCAAACAAGCACCTGGTTACACAAAATAAAAAAGTCATAGCTAAAAGGTTTGGAATTTGCTTTTTGAATAATCTAAGACAATATAAAGGTGATCCTAAGCCTTTCAAAACAGCTTATAGCAAAATTATTTCAAAGAAACATTCACCTTTCAATTAAGCCTGTATGCTGAACCTTCATTTTTAGATACCCGAACACTCACCACTAAAGTCCATATAAAATTTAAAGTACACATTTAAATTTAAAAGGATTATCCTATCCAGCAATTTAAAAAAAATGTATTACATGTATCCGAATTTAATTCTGAAGACAAATAGCTTCCATGTCACTGAAAGAAAAGTTCCAAATTATAAAAAAAAAAAAAAAAAACTGTTTGCTCTGAAGTGAGGTATTTTGCTGGTTCAGAACCTAACCAACAAGCATTTATAAATCTTCTGATTGCATTTTAGTGGATTGCTGCATGATGAAGAAGGTAGAAAAATACTTTGGAAAAGCTTAAATCTCCTTTGTATGTTGTGAAAACTATACTTGTGTGTCATAATCCAGCTTGTTTTTCTTTTAATTTTAGGGGTTGAAGATCAGAAGGTTTAATCATACTATACCTGTCTTTCACAGAGAAACTTTTCTGTTTTTCAAGGGTGTGAATGAGTGTGACAAGAACATTCTTGTTACAAATTAAAGCATGCAACATGGTGAGGCTTTCATCCTTTTGCTTGTGATCTCTGCTCTAGAAAAGTTAAATAAAAATAAAGCAAATTAAAGTTGGGTAGAACATGTCCTTAATTTTTAGAAATGAGAGTAAACAACACACAAGATTAAATCCTGGACCCACTGACATCAATGGGTGTTTTGCCAATGTCAATAGGGTCAAGTTTTCACCCAGAGCGTATCTGTATATATGTGTACATACGTACATATGTACGTACGTGCGCACGCACACACACACACGCACACAGAGGCAGTGTGCCTACAGTTAAAGTTGCCTGATACTTCCCATTACCAATACTGTTTTCATATACAGGCAGTCCCCGAGTTACGCGGATCCGACTTATGTCGGATCTGCACTTATGAACGGGGCTTTCTCGCCCCGGAGCTCACAGGCAGCGGGACCGCCCAGAGCGCAGCGGTCCCGCCACCTCGACCTCCGGGGCAAGAAAAGTTGCTCCAGGTGCCCCTGGTCTGCTGGGGACCGTCTCCAGCAGACCAGGGACACCTGGAGCAAAGCCGGGGAGGTGGAGGAGTTCTGCGCCTCTGAGGCTTTGCTCTGGCAAAGCCTCAGAGGCGTGGGACTCCACT